AGTAATCTACGGATTAACTGAGTAATTTTTTTTTGTGTGAGTCTGTGGCAGTGGGTCCAGTCTCGTCTCAGACCCCACCCCCCCGCTCCTCCCTCCTCCCTCCTCCCCCGTCTTCTCGTAACATGAATCCTCTTCGTTGTTAGCGTTTCTCTGATCTTCAAATACTACATTGTATTTATTTGCAGCAGCTTTGAGTATTTTAGTAAAAAGACAAATTAAATGATAATTAAACTGTTTTATACACAGTCTCTACATTATTACTGTATTTATACTGAATTGTTGTTGTTGTTGTTGTGTATCAGTGGTGTGATTGGTTAGGCTGTGACCAGTTGGTCCAAAGGTCGGGGTGGGACGACGCATCCTTTATGTATTTATTTATTTGTTTGTGGTACTGCAGTGAGGTGACGGGGGCGACCCGTGGTTCAACCCCTGGTCTGAGACCACGGTCCTGTCAGGAGGGAGGAGGTGGAACCACAACAGACCAGGTTCAGATGTTTTCATCACGTGTTCATGACACGTGGTGGGGACGTCAAACAGTCAGAGTGAGAAATACATCATTGACCACCAGGGGGCGGTCATCCCTCGTGTTCGTCTGTTGTGTTGGATGTGGTGAAGGAGAAAGTGTTGAATCTACAGAGACGATTCCACCTCTCCTCCCCGGGAACAAAAGCCAGCCTTTTAACAGCCACTAGATGGCGCCGATTCTATCTTTATAGCTTTTAACAGTAGATAAAAACAACACTTTACCAAACACCATAATATATATTATCACTGGTGAACAATTAGTGTTGAATAAATAATGAATCAGAATTCAATCAGAATTGAAAAGATTTTTTTTAATTTAAATTTTATTCTTGACAAAAGCAGAGCTGTGCAGAATTGTACATCCACCAGGTGGGGCAAGCGTATTTTAAAATTATGAAAGTAATATTATCCAACATAAAGGGCGGGGGCCGATGACTGATGACCCTGAGGATCCTCGTCAATGTTTGAATTAGATTTGAAATGTTTTTCTTCTATGATTGAAAACAGGTTTTTACGATAGTGGAAAACCTGTAACGCAGCCTGCAGACGTCTCCTGAGGCTCAGAGGTCACCGGGGGTCACCGGGGGTCACCACCACCACTGCAGGACTGAATGAAAAAACAGTGACAGCAGAAGTGGATTGTGGGAATGAGAACCTGTAGCTGAAAAGGTCAGTGTTAAAAAAAATGGGAGTGAAAATTTCCAAACATCAAAACTATTGCACAATGAAATGAATCCTCCCCCCCTCCTCCTCCTCCTCCACCCTCCCCTCCACTACCCCCCCCCATTCACATATTTGTGTTGGAACTGCAGAGCCTCCTGTAGGTGTCACTGTAGATTCTGACTAGACCTGAGAACAAAGACCAGGGTCAACTGTAAGTCCACATTCCTGAGTGACCTCACACCTCTCTTTTGTGGTGGAAAGGTCAGAGGTCACACCGTGGGCCTCAGACTGAACTTAGTACTGCTGTGAAAAGTAGGCCAAAGAAAGGAACACTGATAGAGTACACTGTTAGTACTTATTACTGCAGTAATGATAAGTCTTTATGGGTCTACGTCAGGTGACCTGGAAGATACGGAGTGGAGGACGGAGTGGAGGACGGAGGTGTTGACGTCGCTCCAAACACAACAGTAACTAATGAAACACCAACAACACACTCAAAACACCTCCATATATCATCGTGACTAAAGTATCGCAGAATATCGCAGTCTATCGTATCGTATCGTGATACGGATGGCGTGGACAGATTCCTGCCAGTACACAGTCCCAGTGATTGGACCGTGTCGCTCGTTAAACATGCGTTTGACTGTGATGAACTTGTTGGTGCCATAACTGTGGTGCTGGGTCCGCTGAGGTACGGTCCAGTACGCTTCAGTTTTAATGAGACCTGTAAAAATGTAAATAGAGCAGAGAGAGAGAGACAGGTCCTCCCTCTCTCTCTCTCTCTGTCTCTCTGTCTCTCTCTCTCCCCCATCTCTCTCTCTCTGTCTCACCTCCATTCCTCAGTGTAGAAAAATAAAAACGATCTAGTGTGAATCGGGGCCTGTTTAGTTGAACACACATTCACAGGAATTGAAGAAAGACACACAAGGATCTTGTTTTTTTTTAATGGCCATCGTCTGCCATCTAGTTCAGAATGTTTTAATTGTCCAGTCTGTCCAGTCTGTCCAGTCTGTCCAGTCTGTCCAGCTGCCATCCAGACCCAAAGTAAAGTGAGCCGGGGCTGTTAGCAACATCGCTATAGTTTAGTCAGAAGTGACCGATGGAACTGATTTATCTCTGACTGACCACGTCCAGATCACTGGTCAACCAGCTGCTGGTGATCAACCCGTGGCTCAGACGTGTCTGTGTGGACATGGACGGGTTGTGAACTCGTGTGTTCACTGAGGTGTTAAAGGTCACGTGACCCCGGGCTGGGCCTCGTTGGAGGACCTTCAGCCAATCTTCCTCTGGAGTCTGAGTAGGGTTTTGGACACAGTGATATTTGTATTAAAGCGCCCTCTATTGGCAGAGGTCTGAACCTGAGCTGGTTCTGTCTGGACTTCCTGTAAAACACGATGTTCTCCCGTCCTGACGTGGTGAGAGGCTGCGGTGGCGTTCTGGGTGGCGTCAGATTCTTTCCTTGGTAGAAAATGAACGATCTTAAAAAACATGGCGTGACTGAAGCGGACGTACGTCTCTGACACGTCAAACGCTCTGTAATTAACTCTAAATGAGTCGACGATCTCTCTGGTCTGAAGACGGCGAGGATACTTTTAGACCCAGACTGAGAACCTGCAGACGGCTTCAGTCTCAGAACCCAGAACCTGGGCTGGGCCACATGTTTGGACCACAACACCTGGAGTGTTTCCATCCCCTCAACTCAGTCTTCATGAAAAATTCATCAGTCGGTACCAGAGCCACTCAACGCTAACGCTCTGTTACTGCGTAGTAAATCGCTAACTCCTCCAGACACGCAAGTGATGCATTGTGGGTTGTATGTTGTTGTGTTCCATTCATGGTCTGTTCTATTGTAGGAGATTCTGACCACTTGTCAGTTGTGACTGGGCCTCATGTGGTCTCTGGGCCTCATGTGGTATGTGGGCCTCATGTGGTGTGTGGGCCTCATGTGGTCCGTGGGCCTCATGTGGTCCGTGGGCCTCATGTGGCCTGTGGGCCTCATGTGGTGTGTGGGCCTCATGTGGTATGTGGGCCTCATGTGGTGTGTGGGCCTCATGTGGTTATGTGGGCCGCTTCGTGAATAGACTGCTTTGGGTTCAGGTTGATTCCTGACATGTTTGTGATCAGATAGAACCGTTTCCAGAGCCTTCAGGTGACCAACAGTTTGGCTGGTACAGTTCCTCAGTACTGTTTGCTCCTCCTGGTTCCAGGACCACTCCCCCCCCCCCCCCCCCCCCCGGGCGGAGACCACATATCTATCAAAATATAAAAAAATGACATAAGAAACCACATGCTGTGAAGATATTTGAAATATGTGGGCGTGTCTGTGGGCGTGTCTGTGGGCGTGTCAGAGACAGAGATGGGGTACAGCAGATGGACAGGACAACAAAGAAACTGTGTACTGTGTACTGTGTACAACTGCAGTACTGAACTTCTGGGATCAGGAATATTTTTACTCCATGACAAACTTTCACAGCAGTAACGACAGCTGAACTTCAGTACCCTGGAGTAGTACTGCAGTAGTACTGCAGTAGTACTGCAGTAGTACTGCAGTAGTCTTTGGTCCAGTTCTGCGGCGCTGGTCAAAGAGACTTGTTTTATCTCAGTGACACGATTTATATCAAAGACGTCATCATTAAAGTTGAAGGTTCAACTCCTGGAGCTGCTGACTGTAGAGTCGGGGGGGCGGGGGGTCAGACTGGACTGAAACTGAACTGCCATAA